GTTTTTGTTTACATCTTTTAAAAATAATCACATGAACTTTGAAAATTTACTCACGTGATAACCCATGCAATTAAAAATTTATTCTTGTACTATAGTTATTGATAGAGCTACCTTAATAGGGAACAATCAAAATTTTGAATAGGTTAAGATTGACATTAATTAGAGTTAAACAATGAAAAATAATGAAAATAAAAAGGAAATATCAGATTAAGTTAAGGATAAAATAGGATTTTAATCAGTAATTTCCCGATTATTAATAATTTATATTTTTAAACTAAAATTGAAAATCAAATAATCAGACTTATTTTTTCTAAAGTAAATTTAATCGTGCAAAAGTTCTCATTGTAAATCTATGCATCGCATTATCAAAAATCAATTTATTTTTAAAAAAATTAAAAACTTATTCTTCTTATAGAAATTTATCAGTTAAGTGATTTCTTTCTATGGTATACATTTGATCATATCAATACAAAATTATTCTAATTTCATATAAGTATTTTTTCAGCCTTTAGATTTCCTTAATAAAAGATTTAAACACATTTTTTTATTTCTTAAAATTTTATTTAAAAAGAAGAAATAAATTTTGAAAATTCCTTTTTTCCTTTTTTTTAAATTTCAAAAATTTCAAAAATGTCTAACGAAAACTTCAAAAACTAAAATAAAACACAAAATCTGTTTCAAAAGAAATTATTAAAATGTATTATAAAACTCTTAAATATAATTATAAAACACACAGAAATATGTTAAATGCTCTTATAAAAATATCATAATCGCAAACAATCAACATACATAAGTTCAAAGAAAACATCTAAATATTTTACTACATACATAATATCTGGTCATCTTCCTACCTGCCCTTTGCCTTTCCTATCTGCACTAGCAATACTCTGTCATTCTAAAGTACTGATAAATGAGGATAGTCTAAAAGGAAGATTTTTTAATGTTGCTTAAATAGACAATAGAATAACTGTTGATTGATAGGTTCCTTCATTTAGTGATTTCGCAAGTTCAGAATTAAAAGCTGGATTAATCCAAATATCTTTCAGAAGAATTAAAACTTCTTTTATAACATCTGCGATTTTCTTCTGATTCATTTCAGAACCTATCTAGAATTAGTTTATCTAGTATTGTATTCTGAATGTTATGATCAACAAAACTTGTTACGAAATTTTTACACATCTCTTTAACTATCGTTATAGAAGCAGGCGTCATCTGCTGAGCAGGTTTTTAATATAAAAATATGTTACATTTACTCTCAAAGAACCTTCAACAAGTTACCTACCTTAAATACCTTTTTAGATTTGATGATAACTGCTTGATAACTTCTGATTGATCGCTAATAACTCAGCTGACCAAAGGATCCTTTCAGGTTAAGCTTTAAATAGATATAGCATTTACTTTGGAATATAATTGTTAATAGAGAGGCGAAGTGTCTTTTCTAAGCTTTTCTTTCAGATTATTTATATTATCATCAATCTGTTTTGAGCCAAAAGGAATTTCCTTATCTGTTTTAATTGCTTCCATGTTATATAAAGTACAAACACCTTCAAAGCCAATGTCAAACTAAAAAAAAAGTATTGCGTTAGCTTTCAGAAATAAAAAGTAGTTCTCATCATAAAAATAACACAATCATCAGTACATATGCGAAGTTATCATCTTTGTGTAGCCATTACGCAGACAATACTTTATGTGATACTAACAAAGTAACATAATAACTCATATCTTAACACATCCTTTGACATGGCAATAACGTTTTCAGATAATAGGTTGGTAGGATAAACTACAAAACTGCATAACAGATTATAGCATATACACCCTTCTATTATGTATAAGTATTTACAGGCAAGCGAGCTGAATGGGTAGGTTAAACATAAGCAATAAACCAAAAAACAACTTGTTTATTCAGATTTATTTTAGTAAACGATCACACAGTATTATCATATAATAATAAAAAGCTAAAATATTTGCATAAATCTTAACTAACCTGTGGTAGGATCCAGAAAATTTTTAATTGACGAGAAGAACCTTCTATAAATGCATTGCTAACAGAACCCACAGCTTGTTCTACAATTGATTTTAACTCTATCTGGAAAACCCAGCGGTTTTCTTTCATTTCAAGATAAATAACAGACGTAGCGTTTATTTGACGTTTCTCAGCAGTCATCAAAAATTCATAAATCTTATTATATATTACGGTAGATATATTTATGTAGTTGGTTTAGAATATAAAATAATATTAATATACTGAGATAACGCTAACAGTAAAATAAATGACAAAAAGCTAAAAATTACCTATACACCCTTTTAAATGCCACCATTTTCTCACATTTACACTCACATCCATGTTGGGGAAGAGATAGGAGAAATATGCAAGGCACTTTGTGCCAAAATTCTATGTTCATTAGTAAAAATATGTGAAATATGCATTGAAGATCTCAATATTTACAAAAGGCGTTAGGATAATGCATATACAGACTTTTTTCGCTTACCTGACCACTCAATAGTTAATATTAAGATCCAAGCAACGTTATATAAATATATTTTCTTCAGAATTCAGTGGTATCAGAGAGCCTGTCCCTTTGGAGCAAATATTCATATCAGTAAATATTATTCTGCTAAATCTTATTTCACTAAATGTTATAAGGAAAAAATTCAAAATATTTTGAAGAGCGGTTTATGTGTAAAATTATTTTGTCGCACAAGTATAGTTTTACAGATGATTTGCAGACTATTACATCATATATACTTTAACAAGGATCAGAAATATGTTATATTTATGTCATACATGCCTTCATGTATTGACTTTGAGACACTTCACATGGTTGAACAGTATATTATTTTATTAATATAATATTCAGGATCTAGATCAAGAACTAATCTGAAAAATTCAGCGTACAAACTCACAATTATCATCCAAATCTGAGAAATTTACGGTAATATATTTTTCTCCGTAAATACAATATATGTATTTTAACGGTAAATCACATGTAGGATTTTTCATTTCTGATGATTTACTCTTATATACCTCATATTCTGAAATTCTGATGAAGAATACATAATTATATTTTTTTTTATGAATGCTACTATAATATTCAGGATTCTGTAGCCATTTTAACATATCAAGCCAATATGCATCTCTAATAACTATATATTCTTGCTGATATAATAATTTCTTAATAAGTATGTGTAATACTATATCTAATCGTATCCATAATTGAGCTATCTTCTCATACATCCAATTATTTCTTACTGGATAATAACGTCTCTCATCCCCATAACAAATATATCCTAATTATTCCGATTCATTTTTCACATCTAAAAACTTCTTATTGTCAGGAGTACCATCATTTCGTACTACTTCCCAAACCTGTTTTGCCAAAGATTCAGGTCTTTTCTTGTAATTCCTATAAACTTGCTGGATAAGTATTGCATAGAAATTTTCAAAGCCATAATTATAGTAGTATTTAGGAATCAAGAACTCCCAAGATCGCTTCATTAATCTTCTTGAATAATACTTTGTTATAAATTAGAAGATCTAATCCAGAATAGGCAAATCAGGTTTTTTATCCTGCACGGGTAGTACATTTTACAATTATACTAGGCGATCATGCATGCAAATTATATAGCGTAAAAAAATGGAATATAGTTGAAATATTATTTAATCAAAAGTAATAATCTACATTGCTTAGAATCAGTCAGTCAAAATAGTTAAACAATCATGATTTCTACTCCATCTTTCAATCTTATTGTGATACCTTTTAGCTAATTAAGATGTTTTGTGAACGATAATAAATTATTTTGTTTCGCATACAGAGATGAGATAAATAGTATGTTTGGAGTTGACGAGTGTGGCTCAAAAGCTTATTGCTTAACCCTTACATATCTAAGATTACTTAAAGGATCAGAACATTCTTGGTCCCAATGTCTCTGCATTATATCCTTAGCTTCAATCAATTCAACGAATCTATACCATCCATGATGATATGTCTTGGTTGGCTTTATTTCATTAACTCGAAATGGCTTTCAGCAATAAAAGCAGATTGCCATATTATTTTTATGGATTTTAGGATGATAATAAAAATGATATAATTCGTCAAATTTGCCTTCACCAAATCCTGCAAACAAGCAGAAACTATGGTATATGCTATTTTCATTTCGTGATAATAAATATTGGAGAGTACTTTTAACTCGTAATCCCCACTGCACTGGAGACTCTCCCTTTCTCATTATTGATAATTTGTCATAGATTTTTTCATTAGCAAGGAATTTTTTGAAATCGATGCCACTCCAGTAATTTCTGAGATATGTTCTATAATATTCCATATCATATTCAGGATAATTACTGATGGACTTAGGTAACCGCCATTGTTTTTTATCAATAATCATATTAATGTTAATAACACTTACCAAGGTAACAACCATCATATTTAGCAAATTATATTGATTTATTGATTTATAGTGCTTTTAGCGAATTCTTGAGTAACATATACTATAGAATATCATTATTCAAATTTATACGGATTTGCTGATTAGCGGTTAATTGATTTGTAGCTGATTTGAGAGACTACATACTGCTAAATCCAAATTTATTTTATTTGATTATAAGTATATCAGGGATTTATATAGATCCTCTCTCGGGCTAAGCTAATTTTATATTTACACTTGACTTAGTCAAGGAGCTATGTATGGATCTCTCATGATTAACGGGAATTAGCCAGATATAACATAAAAATTCTGTATCACCCTGGCTCCCAGTTAGATCCCGGCACTTTTCCGCAACTTTCTCACAACTCAAATCACGAGATGTGTTATGGATCGGCATTGCCAATTATATTTTGCATAGTAACTAAGCCATCATTATTTTTTAATTAATCATTATATTAATCATTACGAAAATTAAAGTGCTGACTGTACGTGAAGCTAATTTAGTCTTACTCAACTTTAATCATGTCCTACATAAGCAAGTCTTTTTTTGCTCTTCATTTTCCATAAACTTAAAAATGTCCGCACAGTGGAGCAAGGAACAAACTTGCATGTTAATTGATAAATGTAAAAACGGTAATGAAGAATATCACCGAATCTCTAATCGTGATAAAAGAAACTTCTGGGAGAAGATTGTGGAGAATATTAATCAAGCAAATAATACGAATTACTTCACTGGAGAAGATTGTAACAAGAAATTCTTAGCTCTAACTCGAGCATACTATGTAAATAGATAATTGAGCGCTTTATATATATTTAATCCAACTCTGATCTGATATTTTTGGTAAATATAGACGACCCAGGCCTATAAGAAAGCTGTAGCAGAAGCTAATACTGAAACTAATGAGGAGGTAAGGCAAAAGTCAAAAAGAAGAGAAGTCTTGTTAGAGAACATTATTACGAAGAGTTCTTCACAGAATTTTGGAAAGTTCCTGATATTTATTTCTTCTTCGATCAAGACCTTCAGGAGATAGCCTATCCTGTTAGTTTTTTTTTTCAAATTAAAGTGAGAAAAAATATTTATTGTTTCTAGGATCACAATGTTCTATAACATCATCTAATATAACCATCCAACTAACACTCTCAACACCTGATCCTTTCGAAATAGGGTCTGATACTTCTTCCGTTAAACAAACTAAATCATCAAGACTAGTAACGCCTTCTATTGAGACTCCTGTTGTCTCTAGACCTGTTACTCCCACAATCCCTCATTCTCTCAAAATACGAATATAATTAATGTAACAATTAATTATAGTGGCAAAGAAAGCAGTTTGGAAGAACAATAAGAAATAGAATATTTTTTATTAATATATATGTATAGCGCTTAGCAACTGTAGAATAGTATTTTAATGTTCTAGCTGTTTGTTTTTACAATTATAGCTGTATTAATAAGCAAATGTAATTAATAAATAAATATCACTTGTAAAATGCGAAACACATTCAAAAAACTCAAAGTAAAATCTTTATTTATCATCATGTAATATGGCCAATCCGTTAAGTAAAAAAAGTGAATAAAAGATAATAGATCGAAAGACCGGAGGAATGTAATGATTGGAATAAATGATGCTATCAAAGAGGGAGGGAGTTCTCAGATCTTAAGCCATAAATGAGAGTTCTAGCATCAAGTTATTTCGCAATATTACCTTTACTGATACTTCCTCTAATGCTACTGCTACTACTACTGTTGTTACTACTGCTACTATTAGAAAAACTAACTGATTTCTTATTTTCTTCCTTTTCAACACATTCGATAATTTTATCTATAGAAGTTCTTCTTGGTGATTTTTGATGATGATAAAAACTAGCTAATGTGCTAACACTAAGTCTGATTTCAATCGATAAAATATTGTACAATTGTGTTGGTGAACGAGCTTCTCTTTTTCTCCTATTATTAAAAGGGCCGTAAACTCGACCCAGTATATTTCATATTCATCCATATATTTAGAATACTGTCCCATAGAAACGTGACTTGTGGAAGAGAATCAGTTTGATCCGGCTAAAAAATAAGACACAGTTTAGCGCAGATAAGTATATATGTATAACGTGATATTTTTTCCTCCATAGCACATGACTTATCTTGAGATACCTCATTTCTCCATTTGGCTTTTATACGCATTCTTTGAAGTTCATTACTTAATATTAAGACTGTTTTTTTGAGGTTATTGTCTCCTGATCGTATTAGATATTTGTGAAAAAAGAAGATAGCAATGTTAAAGATTATATAAATGTTTACGTTTCCTGAAAAAATGCCTTAGATCATATCCATTATAAGGACACCATGGGTTACCATTTCGTAAATTATAATTGTGATGTCGAAGAGTGTGATCAAGAAAATATCTGAGTTTGAGAACATTTTTTAGATAGCGTTTTATTAGTTTTATGTGAAATTGTTATTTTTTTTTACTTTTTGAAGGAAAAAAAATACCAAAGTGGTTCTCTAGAAATAATCCTTTTATATGTTTTACAATTGTTTAGCAAAATAAATGTCTATATACACTAGTGTAAAGAACCCGTGTTGAAATACAGGCCTGGAATAATTGTGAAAATGATATCATGTCCATACTCCTATTTCTGAAAAAAGAAAGTTAAGATCCAGAGTGGCGCCTGTACTTAAAGACGAAAAAAGTTAATGCATTCTCATATCCCCATATTCTCACAACATATGTATTCAAGCAATGAAAATAACAATATTTTTTTTTGTAAGTGCTTGGCCGTGAGGCCTTACGCAAGGGAAAAGTTTTTATTAATAAAAATTTATTGAAATATTCGTTAGGATCCTTCTGAATCATATATGTACAGTATGTGAATAACTTATATTATAAAGTACTATTCTCTTATTTTATTTTTGTCTAAAGAATAGCCAAAGGAAGAACTAAATATCTGTATATGAGACGCCGGTCACAAGAGAAATTTGATATTTTTTTTTCTTACTTCGAACATATAAGAAGGTAGGAGTTCTATTTGTTTGTAACACAATTTGGTTTAAAGTCGATGTACAATGACAATTCCACCATAATGTAGATCAAAAGTGAAAGGAAAAAATAAGCAGGGTATTTATAAAAAATATCATATAGATCTGCATAATTATTTTTGCAAAAAAATTAGCTATTCTAGGAATAAAACTATCAGGAGTAATGGCATAAATTGATTTGCAAAGATATAACGTGTTTGCACAGAGAAAAAATTGCGCTAAAAAGAAAATCCAATGAAATAACAATTACATGCTAAACTGATATGTTATAAATTTATACTAATAGAGTAATGGTATATCTACCGTTTATTATCCCCTTTTTCTCATAATTTGAAAAAAGATACCCTATTCCAGCCAGTTAGGCAATCTCCTGAAGGTCTTGACCGAAGGAGGGATCACTCAATTTTCATTTTTGATCTTCTTTTTAATGACGCCCTATCTTACGATCCGCAAAATACCTTTTTTACTTACTAGGTTCTAAAACAGAAAAGAGTTAGCCTATACCTTTTAAAACTTTTGGAACTTTTGAGTAAAAAATATATGACGCACTCTCAGTCAGATCGGGCCCCAAAAGGACCTGGTAATAATTCACATGCGTATTACTGCGCAGGATATGTCAGAATAAAATCTCAGCAAGAATTTCCTGGCGAATAGCTCATCAACTAATAACCCAATTTTGATGAGGATTGAACGTTAGGATTCAGCAGGTTCTGGACATTTACCAAACCAAATTTCGTGAAATTCTGATCACTGGATGCGTAGTTATTCAGAAAATCGTAAGGTCAATTATTTTCTCCTTTGCAGGTATTGCAGGAGATATCTAACTATTTTTTGGAATTGTGATTAGAAATATTAGTAATTTTACCTCTCATTTGTACCTTTGGTATTACAAAAGATAGTCTACTCTTATTAACATACCTTAATAACATATTCAGATAGCTTTTCTTTTTTCAAATTTTAGTGAGAAAAAATTGGAGATCTTATGGTGACAACATTGCCAAAGTGGCGTGTGAAATGCTAGTGACCTGACAACCTACAAAATACTAGTTTCTGATTCTGAGAACCTAAAGGAGGTAAGAAATTAGTAGGTTGTTATGCAAGAATTCATAGCTACTCAGTGAATCCCAAAATGTATTATTAGTACTATATAAGGATTAAAACTTCAACCACTTACGAAACGTGATCTATATACTATAAAAATCCCAAATCAATTCAACCAGATGCAGGATACCGAAAGCTTCAAAACAAGCTAAGGTGTGAAGTATTTGGATCACAGGAAGCTGGAATAGCTTTGACAGTTGGGAAAATTTACTGTGTTCAGATTAGAAATTAATTAACAAATTGTAGAATGATTTTGCGTAATGCAACTGTATAACTATCGCTTCTGGATGCTATGATCATCGCAAAATATAGAACAAATATGACAACAGCTAATGATCACTGCTCCAGATTAGTTAGATCGGTAGAGTTCCACCATCTTGCTTGATCGTTGAGTAATCTATTAACTGTTATAGATATGTTAGAATTAGGTTGTCAGAATCCCTGGTGAAACTGAGTTCTAATATTAGCAACTAGAGACTGTGTTAATATTAGCTCTACCACTCGCTCTATCTTAGCTTGAATATCATTCAGATCCTAGTAATTCTTGATATAGATATTTGGATTAAGTGAAACGAGCTAATCTACAGCTTCTTTGCTAATATAATACCTCTCAAATTAATATATTTTAAATTAAGACATGATCTGGCAACTTCTTTGATAGTCATATCAGTAATTTTACAAAATGAAATGTCAAGATGTCAAAGCTTTGAAGAAGAACGAATAATACCACAAATTGAATGTTCAGTAATCTTTATGCGATAAGCGATATTTAAATATTCTAATTTATGGCATGTCTTTGCGATCCTCCATAGACCTTTATCATCTACTACTTGAACACAGAAACTCGTAAAGCTACCTGACTGATCATCACACAGTTTGAGATACTTCAGATTCGGGTATGAACCTGCTATCAGTTCTAATACTCTATTACTAAATCCTATACTATTTATAAAACTCAAATAGGTTATATTTGGGCATGAATGTACAATGCTTATGATTTTTTTATCTGAAAGTGAATGGAAGTATGATATTTCAAGATGAGTTACATTTGAGCAATAAACTGGTGTTTGCTTTCTACATACTAGCTTTATGAATTTTTTCAATTGAGAGAGATCCTTTGCACGTTCTATCCTTATGAATTTATTTAATCGAAGGCGATTCTTTGCATAGTAATTATAATCATTTGGAAGAGATTATCCAGGATATAAGTCTTTGCCCTTTAGCTCAATGCGTCTCCATAGAATAAGGCATCACATCTGTACCATAATCAGAAAACAAATAGAGTGGGATAGAAAGATTTATCTATCACTAAAAAATGTAAAATCTGTTCTAATAGTTCTGGTAAATAAAAGATGCTTAATTGTATCATAAATATTCTATTTATATATTGTATCTTTAAATGAAAAAATAGCAAAATACCTTCAGGAAAATCATGCAATTATTGCTCTAAGATAAGTCTTTCCAGTATCTCATCTAACGTAAGTGCTTGTAAATCATTCATAAGAGCTTTAAATGCATTCTCAGGTGATAATCCTTTTAATAATACGTATTTAAGGAAATTTTCATTATAACCTAAACTCTTGTTACACTCTTCTAGCTTTGAATAAAAATCCTTGACTGTATTTTCGTCTTGAACCAATGACATAATACGAAAATTAAAAATAGTCTTTCTTTTAGACCATTCAAGATCTACCTCCTTTGCCTATATATTATTTATACTGCGAAAATTTTTTAGATCCTGGTTTGAAAAATCCTTTAGAATAAATGGTATTAATTCTGGCGGAAGTTGTTCTAGCAAATTAACTATATGCATTTTTATATGGTTAGAAGATTTTTTCAATCGAAAAATAAGGTTATTGTTACACAATCTGTAGCTTAGCAAATTCTTCTAAGCTGATGATTACTGTACCAGACCTTCTTCTCAGCCGTGCTCTTTATTGTTACTTATGAGGAATAGCTTTTCGCTCTCTTACCGTCTCAACTGAATCAGATTCTTCAGAAGACTCAAATGAATAGGAGAAATTTTTACCTTTTTTACCAATCAGCAAGGGAACTATTTCTTATATTAAGTCGACTATAGTTTCCCTATCCACACATTCGTCTAGATCTTTTAATTCAATTTTTAAGGATCTCACATCTTTTTCCAATTTTTTTACCCTCCTTTTTAAAGTATTAGGTTGGGAATGATAATCTTCTAATTGTTTCTTTAACGCCCTATTTTTACCGAAAAGCGCACTATATATTTTTGCATTTTGCTCATCTAGCTCAAATATCTGGGCTAATTTTTCTGTATATCTGATAACTTCCTGCTCGCTAGCTATACTATCAGATGAATGCTTTTGATCAGTTACCATTTTGCGATATTTTATATATGATATATCTATTTTTTTTCTCATATTTATTCAAAAAAAGAAACTCTATCAGATAAAATATTAGGGTAAGTTACTCTGGTTAAAAGAATAGACTATCTTCTGCAGATCGATAGATCAAGGAAGGCGAAAAAATAAAATTAATAAATGATATTAGGTTAGCAAAGCTAACCCTTCTAATCTGATCTCTCTAGAATCCCTTCTAACCTATATATGTGATTAGTTTTCATCAAAGATGTTGAAAAGACTTACTTGATCATAAGGTTGACCCCGCTTTCTATAATTGACTATAGTATATCTATCAGATGGAGAAACATGGCCGTCAGGTGAATGTCGAAGGGCTTTCCTAGCATAAGTATTAAATTTTGATGAATTCTTAGGCATATGCGTTATGCTAGCAAATACTGATCCTAATTTGCGCAAAGAGCTAGGAAGTAGCAAGTCATAAGGCTTAGGAATAAATTTATCTTTCTTCAGAAATGCACTTAAGTATGTAGATCCAGGCTTCCCAGAGTCTCTTAACTCTCCAGAAGAAATCGCATTTTGAATCCATATAAGTAATTGCTTAGCTCACTCTTCATCCTTTTCTAGTGATCTAAATACTCGAGAAATATCTTGCTCGCCTCAGTTTTTTGCGTATCCAGTTACGCTACCATTAGATATACACAGATTTTTAATTTCAGCAGGACGGATATAGAGCATGATTATTACATCGGCTAGGGCCTGTTTGTCAGGTATATTAGATACATCATACTCATCCAATCTTTCCTTAACCAATTCTAACGAGAAGTAGTCTAGATAATGGAGCTCTTCATTTTTACATTATTCGCTACGTTCCTTTTGAATTTTATTGGATAATTTGGTTGTCTCTGGATTCTTCATAGCAGAGATTATTTTTTCTGAAGCATTAAGAGTTTGTAATTCTCTTCGAAGTCTAGAAAGACGTGATAGGGCAATGACAGCATCGGGAGATGTTTCCTCTAAGGTTCTAGATATTACTTTTGCATCTCTTTTACTAAGATTATCTTAGACAATACAGTGTGCTGTTTCTTTAATAGTCTCTCCTTCTGAAGCATTATCAGAAACTAGACTAATATTCATTTCAGCTTCTGGGATCACTGCTGGTACTTGACTTATGTATCGCCCAATTCTCTGATTAGAAATCAATGTAAATGCCTGTTCTTTACTAAATTTATACCCTTTTAGAGACAATTACGTGCCTGACGCCTTTTCTCTCTATCATCTATCAAGAGGCTACACATTTCTGACGCATACTGACTAAGCTCTTCAAGACGCATTTCATTGGTGAGTTTGTGATCTGTAACAAATTTAGTTGTAATAGCGGATATTTTGTGATGTATAGAATGTATGTAGTAGTTAGATTAATCCGTAGTATTCAGATTATATTACGTGAGATAAAGTTCAATTCGAAAAAATATTTTGTAATTTCTATACCCTATGGTCAGTGGGTAAAAAGAATATTATAACTTATTGCGGGCTCTCTATGAGATCACCGACTCCAGCCAGAATATCTTTTATATATATTTGAAAATTACGGGTAGATAGGATATGCAAAAAAATATATAGTCATAGAATCGCTATTCTAAGGCTAAGAATAATTTATATTATAATCACGTTTTAGTAAAATGTTCGCGCTAGAGCTAATATTTATTCCTGTCCTAAAACATTTGTTTTAGTAAACGCATCATATAAAGCACTTGGTCTATGCTTCGATAAAGCTAAATTTGGGTGATAGAGAAATTTTATGAGTACGTTATTCCTCCAAGCTTTTGTCTCTTCACGTTCCCAGCATAATTTTAATAGTTAGCATAAAGTGTAATTATGCCAATTAGCTTTGAGTAAAATTTATAATAGATTTATTTTTTCATTAATCACTGTTAGCAAACTTTTCTCTTATACAATACTCCAAATACGATAGGAGATAAAAGAAAGATATCCTCTTAATATTGACAATTCATGTAAAGGCAGAATCAAAAGCCTTTCTTCTTTCCAATACACATACTCTCTAAGTAGTAATTTACGATATACTGACCCATTTATAGCTATCATGCGATTAGTTTTGGGATTATAGATTTTTTATGAGCTTTACCCTTGGGCTTGTGCTCTGTCAGTTGATCTAATATATTTATAACATTAATATAAAAAGTCGTTTATGACTTATCTTAATACTGAATAATTTAAATACACATTTTATTATAAAATTAAAAGTAAAAGAGGGTTTTATATCCTAAAATACTTATAATGGGAC